CAGATCGATGATGCGCCCTAATCGCCATTGCAGTGGCGGTAGGTTGTCTTCTCTTAAGAGAATTATGGCGCCTATCCGGATCAAATCTGGTGGGTCGGTCCGCCACTTGTGTCGTTGTTGCAGCCCGTGGAGGTATTCCCGCTGCCACCTCTTCCAGAAGTGTTGTATGGTTTTTTGCACCAGCTGATACCTGTTTAATCTGGTCTCAGTTACATTAGTTAGATCCGGTTGTGGGAGTGCCATCAACGCATCTCCGATGAGGAAGTAACCGGGCGCGAGGGGGGTCAGGTCGTTGGGATCAGTGGATATGGGGTGCAGAGGACGGGAGTTGAGGCAGGCTTCACCTTGCGTTAATATGGTGCATAACTCCTCATACGTGAGCCTCTGCTCGCCGACGACCTTTTCATAGGTTTTCGCAGATCGCACCCCTCTTTCCCATAGGTCGCCAAAATGCGGAGCGCTTGGTGGTATTAAGTGCCAAGCGATGCGTTCCCGTGCCAATGTATCTATAATGCGATCGTGATGCGCACGAGAATCTAACAGTAAGCCTAATTCCTTTAATCCACTTTGGGCGCCAATAAAATTTCTACCGTTGTCGGAGTAGATGGCTCGACATCTACCCCTCCGTGCTATGAATCGATGGAGGCATTGTAAGAACGCATCGGTCGTCATATCTGTGGCCAATTCGATATGTGTGGCCCTTGTAACGAAACAGACAAAAATGCATATGTAGGTTTTCTCGCTCGCATGAGCACGACCCCTTCCTCGAATTAGAAAAGGGCCCACATAGTCCACGCCGCAGGTAGCGAACGCGCGATCCGGGGTTACGCGATCGGCAGGTAAGTTGCCCAGTTTATATTGCGGGCTTGTCGAATTGACCTTAAAACATCTTACGCACTTACGCAATATCCCCCTTACGAGCCGCCTTCCCGATGTTATCCAAAATCGATCGTGCAGCGATGCTAGCGTTTGTTGCGGTCCAGCGTGCAGTAAACGATTATGCTCGTGCCTTACAATCAATATACTAAGCGCGTCTGAGCCTGGAAGAATTATCGGATGTTTTTTATCCGATTCTAAGTCCGCGTTCAAAAGACGTCCGCCCACCCTGAGAAGCCCATGATTATCAATAAATGGGCATAATGAAATTAGCGGGCTGCCCCTTCCTATTGGCCTTTCTGACGTGAGGCATTGCATTCCATCATGAAAATGAGATTTTTGGGCGACTCTAATGACAGTTCGCTCTGCCCTTCTAATCTCGTCTGCGGATGGGGAGTGGTGATCGGAAGGATCACCGCGACTTCCCTGCAACGATCCCCTGGCCCGCGCGTTCTCCACGAATCTAAAACAATAAGCTACTGTCCGAAGCAATTTTGCATATGACGAGTAACGAGAGGCTAAATTGAAATCATTTAAGGCCGTGGCGCTAGTCGGACCTGCGTGGGTCGCGGCTGCCCGTTTTTCTTCGGGTATTTCCACCGAGGTTGTTGGCGTTGAAGCTGGCCAATCGTCGCAATTCTGCGACAACCACTGCGGCCCGTGCCACCAAAGGTCGTTGTCTAGGCGTGAGCAATTTAACAATTTGTAGTGTGAAAGAGAGTCTTTCGTGTATGCTCA